CCAATACATCTGTCCTTTTCCTTCCGAAACTGTGCATTAGCAAGCGACGGATGGGTTCCATTTTTATGGCCCTATAATGGTTTTACTACGCGACGAATTTCCGACTGGGGTAAAAGTCCCCCACCAATGAGCACAGGCGCAGTTGTTGAACGGAAAAGGGAAAAAATGACGACGAAGCACGGAAAAGTCAAATGCGTGGGGTGGGCCAAAAGTTGAATCACTTCTCGAAGAATATCAATTTTTTCTAGTCGCTGTTGAAGTTACTTGAGCAAAACTTGGATTATCGCATTTACTTTTTCCGAATTACGTAAAAAGGCTGCGTATCATGGGTGTGGGCTTAAATACATTTTTTTTGAAATACAATATTGATGCTTTTCGTTCAATAGAATTTAGGCGCGTGTCTTACTCCAGGCGCATGGTAATGGAATACATATAACTGTATTCAGTTATTCACACGAAGGAAATTCAAGATTACCTGGAAGATTTATATTTAAAGGGCTTTTTTGGGCGCCTCCTAATTTAGTACCAAAACTCCAGAAGTTTGTGAAACTAAGAAAATCGAATTTACAATTCGAGTGGGAACATTTTCCAGGGGTACTTTCGTCAATAGGGCCGTTACGGTGACTCAGCCGTGAACTATAAAATACAGTAATGCCTTTTGGAAGCTTATTGACTGAATTTCCATTTTCCTCTTTACCAAAATTTTTTTTTTTTCACCCAAGGTGCACATTCCATTCGCGCTACTTTTTTGGTTTCGCGTATTTTGTGTCACCAGCTTGAAACCTACCCGTTCTTGTTAACACGAGAATAACATCCTGTTGTGTACTCTCGAAAACAGCAATAAAAGCACTGCTCAAGTTTATGGGTAAAGCAAAAACACGAAAATAAATGGGGCTGCCATAATACGATTTATTTTGTTCTACTACTGTATTTTAGCGCCAGTCTTTTTACATTTGCCTATGCGTCGAAAGCCTTTGAGTGTTCCGACTTTTCTCAAACGCTGCTCATGAATTCATCAGCCGAATTATTTATTTATTGAAATTGAACAAGCAAGTACGGGTTAAAATCTTATCAGAGTCGGAACTGTTTTGTAGTGAATCGCGAAGAATTGGTCATTTTTAAACTTTTGTTTCCCCTAACCTCGGATTATTCCATGCTTGTACAGCTGGGCACAGTAATGAAATTCAGATGACGGGAGAATATGACCATAAAAAAAATGAACTCATGCTCACGCATGGGTTCGGCATTACGGTTATAGTTTCGGATTAATGGGATGATTCTGAAAACCAAGGAATACTGGCGCCTTCCGTGCGATTATTGTTCTGAAACCAGGGAATGAAAGGATAAATGTGAATAGATATCGGGCTCACGGATTTCCGGAGGAATCGGGACACGGAGAAAATATCTTCATACACGAATACTTCCTTTGCTTCGTGACCGTTGAAACGGAAACCCCGTCTTCTGCACGATGTCATTAAGCACGGTGAAGTAGAGTACTATACACGTGTACAATCTAATGCCTTTCAGAAAGTAAGATATCCAGCCAGGTATACAGTGATATTGATCTCGGAATAGTTCGGGGATTATCAGGAGTCGAGAGTTATATTAGAAATAAATAAATAAAATTATTGATTGTGCTGACAGTGTTATCCCAGTATTATCCGTATAATATTCTATAAGGACGATCAGTGAAAAATCATCGAAACTATTGGAGCTGGGATTATGGGAGAGCGAGAGTACTGTAATTCGATTTCCTGAAAGTTTCGTTTTCCCTAGTGGAAGAAAAGTTTTATCTTCCCAGCAGCTCTTATATTATGAAAATTTCTAGGTGTAAGGTCTGAAGATTATCTCAGTACTCATCGAAAATGCTGAAGGCACGTGGTAAAAGTTCGGAGAGAATCTGTGAGAATCATGGCAAGCAAATAATTTATCGGAACCCTCAACTGATTAAAACATTTTTTCCTTCGTTTTTCTAGACGAGCACAAAAATCTATTCGGCTGCCGATTCTAAAAAAAAAATGTATGAGAGAAAGAAATCATTTTGACCGCCGAAAAATTAAGAACGAAAATTTATTGAATACCTATTTTTGTTGATGGTGGTCAAATTGCATGCGCTTCTCTCAAAATCACAAAAAATGTTATATGCACCTGGCAGGTGTAGCTCAATCAATCTGTTGTGATGTTTCTGTCGTGCTTCCGGTAATTTCACTTCACTTACTTTTCTGTGTAATTTTTCAACTGGCCGTGTTTTTCATCCTTATGCATCTAGAACCACTGATGTGGTCTTGCGTTGAACGAGGCGCAAAATAAATAGGATTTTACGCTTTTAGAATACATTGGCTAAAAATGCTTGGGATGATTTGAAAATTGGCGAAATGTTGTTATACTGTGCTGTATTTAGCTGACAAACCCTCGCCGTTCCAAATGATGTGACGACATTCTGTAACATGAGAGAACCGAAGAGAAAAAAACTGTAAAAAGCACTTCCTGTTCATGTCCCCCGTTTTTCCCTCGTCACCGTCAACTTTTAATTTCCTGCGTTTATCGCCATTTTTTCTGTGACGCCTTGCTAAGTTTACCCCGATTTTTTTGCAGGATGGGAAGATGATGAAGCGATGATGCATCCCGTCGTGAGACTGAATAACGGTGTCTCACAAGGCGTGGGTGGTAGTGCACTGACGGGTGACCCAGGGGCAAAAATCCATATGATCGTTGTCGACGCAAATGAGTCTTCTTTGTTGGCCAGGGGTAAAGCCAGTGCTGTCGGTGACGTGGGGAACAATGAAGCTAACGCTGCCAGCTTTACTCATAGACGCTTCTGGGATAATTTTTCGAGGATTATGATCCCTGCTGCCATGTTTGTTCGGAGGTGGATTCTCTGAAAAGTTTTACAAATGTGAGTTTCGCCATCCATCGGATTTTGTGCTGAAATGTGCTTTGTTGACCCCTGCGAAAAGTGAGGCTGACAAGATGTTCGCTGACGGATTCCCGAATGATGGTGTGTTTTTTTTTTTTTTTGGCTTGTTCTTGCTGGACGGTTGTTGAATATTCATCGGTCGGTTGTGCGTTTATTCTGTGATGGGCATGGTTTCAGTCTTCGTTTTATGGATGAACTTTTTCAAGAAGTCAAGAGACCCCTTATCATTCCTTTTCGATCTGATGTTGCATGATAACCTGCACTAATTCTATATCTTGAAAGATCTGTCATTTGAATCAACACGTTTCAAAGTCGTTTCCATAATCAAAACGTTACTGACTATTTCAAGGTTCTATCGCACGGTAAACTTTTCAAGAAACCGAAGAATATTCTTGTAAAAGAGGGTCGAATACTGTACAGTAGTTCCTTGAGGCGAAGAGCATTTTTTGTGGGTTCCTTGGTTTTTACGAATTTTCCAAAGCTTCTCTTGCTTGCGTAGATTGTAATGAAATGTTC